CATTATAATCTCTCCACAGAAACTCCATAATGTTTTCTTAATGTATGCCACCCAGGAACAGAATAATGAATCTCCTCTGACTTCCTCCAACCCTTGATGGAGTGACATTTTCATCTGTCACATATAGAGCCTTCAGATAGTATTGGCCAATGATCACCCTCATAAAGATGGCTGACCCTTAGCACAGCAATAGATTAAAGACACCAGAGATTTTTCTGCCACCCAAGGAAAACCAGTTCATTGTTGGAAAAAAAGTCACCACTAAAATTTGCTTATTATAACTTTGCCTAAACTCTGTTTCTATAACATGCCTAGGAAACATCATTTACTCACAGAGTCCCTTGGCTAAGCTAATGCATGAACAATGAGACTACTGATGTCACTGACTGTCACCCCCCTCAGGACATCATTGGAGGCAGTATTGTCCTCTTGCATCATACTCCCTCCAGAATTCAGATTATAATTAACACTTTGGGACATTTCAGCCCCAATGCTAAACCCAGCACTGCTGTGATTAGTGACAGACACATTGGACTTGCTCCTGTTTTCAGAAACAAATGTGAAGCAGAAGCCACAAAAATTCCTAGATTTCACATAAACTTAGTGTAGCTTAGATGAACTATTTACTCATTAAGCTACACAGAGATCCTACTGAAAAAAACAGAAGGATATCTGGTAGACAAAGAAATACTGTTAGAAGAAGATAACAGTTCAGGAGCTAACAAGGGTGTATCACAAGTGCATAAAACTAACTTAGAGGAGGGCAAAAACACAGGAGTCACTAAGTTCTGATGAAAAAGCAGAGACCTTGCAAACAGAAAAAAACAATATAAAATACTTCAACCATTTACATGAGACAAGAAGTTTAAAATGTAAGGTAATGGCATAGGAAATCCTAAAATAAGAGTGATCTAAAACTAAGAACAGTGGCCGGCAACAACGCCTGAATAATACTGATGCTGGTAACAGCATAATTTTATCCTAAATTTTGCAATATTTGGAACAATTTTTGAAGACAGCTCCTGGAGTCATGTGAATACGTAAGAATCTCAGCTTTCATTTTTTTGAAAAATTACAGAAAAGTTGGGCCAGGAAGAGAGTTTAGGTTGTTATCTAGTGTAACCCCTTGCTCAAGGCAAGATCATTCTTATATAAACTGCTCTGTACAAACTGCTCTCATAGTGGTAGAAAAATAAATTAAATAATAGGAATCCAATATGTAGTATTTAAAAAAAGTCTCATGAACATTGAGACAAATAACATAATTTTAGGGGGAAATCTTTGAATGCCTAGCATTGGCAGTGCTATGCCAATATTCACTATTCCCATTTGCACAATGCTGGCAGTAGTTACAAAAGGAAGATAATTCTGGAAATAAATAATCCACTTTAACCCATTTGCAGTTAGCCTTCCTGAAGTCAACAGGGTTTTACAGCTGTGCCTAAAGACAAATGTTAAGGAAGGTCCACAGACTTTATGCATAACACACTATTTTGAAAGGAACAGACTATCCAGTTATCCTGCTTGCACAAATGAACTGGCTGACTGTAAAAGACTTTAAAGAAGCAAAATAGGTTTTACATATTATTGCAGCTAAAGCAACGACACAAAAATCCTATACAAAAACTAGGAGAAAGTTTCACAGAAATAGAAATCTGCTAGTCTCCAGAATAATCTAGTGCTTTGCCAACTGGAGCAGATGAATATGTAATTGCAGTAGGCTGGATGAGGGTTATATATATCCAAAGTATACTCATCCAAAGAAGGTCTTATGCATCTGTTATGTTTGCTTAATTAATATTTGCAAATTACAGGGATCTTCATATTATAAAAAGTGCTACTAAAAGCCAAGTAAAAAATAATATTTTGGGGTATATTTCAAGAATAAAGAGAGGAAGACTTAGATGCTAAGAGACTGCAAGTGAAGTATGGTCAAGTCTAGACATTTAACAACTGAAAATCAGGCCCCAAAAGATCAGACTGACTTAAATCACAAATTAGAGATTCTTATGGTTTTTGATCCTCGACATTGCCCCACTTGATGTTTTTAAGCTTTCTTCAGCAACCACATGATCTACAAAAAAACCCACTGCGTGTGACAATGCAAGTCAATCCCACTGACCAGCTTTAAGTGCTTTAGCGCAGGAGGTTCATCTCCGCAAGGTATTTAAGCCCCTCTCTGCAACTGAAACCAATAGCAATGACATGCCTAAGTACAGCTAAGATTTTAGGCCTGAATATTTAAATTAGAGACCCCCCAGGAGGGAGTTCAGGTGACAATATGGTGTTGTTACCTTTGCATGCAAGAAACATAATGGCACCCACAAAACACCAAGTCTCTCTCTCTACATTTAAACAATGCTTTCAGCTGGGAGTTTACGAACATACAGAAGGGGTCTCCATAGGTCACTATATCCAGTCATCTGCCATTGTAGTGACACACGTTGCATAATACACTAAGCAAGTTCCAACTTACAGCTACATAGTTAGGTATTTTGCTTTCACTGGTCTCACTGGAAGGTTGGGGCAGAACCTTTTTAAGAGGAATGCAGTAATTCTCCTGCATTACCTTGATTTCAGAAACTAATAACTTCATGAAAAACAAACAACAGCAACAAATCTCACAATTAAATGGTGTGATAGGTACACAGCAGTGAAAAGACATCAGTGTGATTAAGAGGATAACTTTCCAGACAGCTAAAACTGTTGTAAGGAGAATACCTCATACTCACAATGCATCTTCCATGAAAAAAACTCCCAAGTGCTATGTAACCACTAAGTAAACCAGTGAGATATTGTTGGAAAGCAGATTTATGTTCATTGTCTACATGGTAAATTGAGGCACAGAAAATTAAGCAACAGGCTGTAAAACCTAAAGACACAAACCCAAATTCAGTACTGAAGACACTTAAGAGATTTGAAACAGGCAGCTAAGAGTCCTTCTTGCCAGTACAACAGCAACTAAGAGGTACACTGCATCATGGCCCATATGCCCTGATAAATATTGGCAAATGCAAGGTCCTGGCTCCCCTCGCTATCTATCAGGAGCCTAGTGATTCAGGCTAACATGGAACAATGATTTCACATCCTAGTTACCATTTGGTTTGCTCTTGAGCAAGGTTGTCACTGGATTGGGATAAAAACAGTCTCCTCTTTTCCTATACCATCGTGGCAAACACAAATCTCCCAGGCAACACTGAGTCAGCATGTAGATATAAGGAAAAGAAATTTTCTCCCTGACTAGTGCCATGTCCACGAGAAGACATTTCCATACAGATGCACCTGAAGTGCTCTATACAATTTTAGTCAGTCTCTTCTAGGAGGAGCAACAGCGCAGCAGAAGGTCACTCTGAAATGATTCAGGGTTTTGTGGGTATGAGTAACGAAGAGCAAATTTTCCAGGTTTGGCCTATTTCAAGGGTAGGACAGAAAAGGATCACTTCCAACAAGCAGTTGGTAAGACTGTATTTTCTCACATACTACACACCCCAAATGTTCTGGGGAATACAGAATAAAGAAAAGACACATTCTTCCAGAGTTATGGCCATATAAAAATCACAGAGACTAATCTTCAGTTTACTTGTCCTCCCTTTCCTGTTCAGGCAAAAGCTACAGGTTTAACACTGCTTCATCAAAAGCTGTAACTGTAGCTGCTGATGAAGACTGGACTCCATAGGCAGGGCTACGATTTTGAAAAGAGAGAAAAACAGTTCGCAGAGCTACAAAATTGAAGAAAGATCAGAAGTAGCTAATTCCTTAGCAAAACTGCTCAAGAAAGAATAGCTTGCTTAATGGGACATGAAGACCATTAAAAAGGAGAGAGGGGCATTAACACCTGTGGAGTGAAGGACAATTAACAGGAATTAAGTGGATTATAATGATCAGGGATCTGGGTTTTCTGTTTCCTGCAAAATGGAAAAAATATGGATTCTCTTTCCCTTTTTACCAAGAAAACTGCAGATTTTTCATTTTAACAGAGAAATACGCAAATTTTCCACTTTTGCAGAGAATTCTCTGCAGGCTGGCAAAGTCTCGCTATATATAGTGGTGTTTCATTTTAATTGCGAATTTGGGGTTTTTTGATCAGAGAATTTGCAATTTTTAAACAGAAAAACAGGATCCCTGAGAATGAGCTATGAAAAGCACTGCCTGAGTAGAAATGTCACTGCTTCTACTATGAGCAGAAAATCAGCTTCCTCCCTTAAGACACAGGGAATTCTTGACTTATTTGTTTTGGGAGAAAAGATGTGTGTAGTATGTGGATAATTATGGCAGAAAATACTTGTAACTCACAACAGAAGTTATTATGGAATTAAAATGAAGGACAGGCTTCTCATAAGAACTTCAGGACAAATTTCTTTTATATGGAAGGCAATTGAAATGCAGGGTATAATGGCAATTCAGTATCAGACTGACATGATTCAGATTCAGCAGACATGCAGAAACATTTTTGAAAAAGGAGAATCAGATACTGTTGTCACAACAGATTTGAAAATAAAAAAAAAGATAAAGGTTGAATAATTTACTTATAGATAAATATTGTATTATTACAACTGTCCCCACTTTATCTAGTGGTAAGTGGTATAGATATCTTGAAAAAGGAAAAAAAAATCTCCATTTTGAATTCTATATTCCCCTGTTCTATTTTTCCTAAGACTATTTATGACTAGGGAGTACTATGATCTTCAAGTCATGAAAATTCATGTACATCACTTAGAGGAATATTACTCAATCTATTTATATTTTGATTTGCCATTTGGCCAGGGTCCCTAATCTGTCAATCAATATTATAAATGTCCGCCCTATGCCAACTAACTAATGAGTTCATCTTCCATCGTGAAGTCACAAGCTGTAATTCTGCATGTCACATCCTGTAGACATCAGGTTGACATGTCCCATACGTGAGTAGGCAGCAAAAATAACAACAAAAACACGCTTCCATTATACATGAAATCTTAAAAATGAGGAATAAATAGAAGAAACATCCAATCAACACTCACCACCAAGGCTTTAGACCTATTGCTTAGTAGTTTTTCAATATCTCTGGCTGCAATTTCCACCAACTGGCGTGCATTGTTGGCTTCCACAGTATACAAATTTCTGTGTGTCATATAAATCTGCAAAGGAAAAAAAACAGAAATAAAGAAGGACCCATTTCTTTAATAAAACAAAATGGCCAGAATAGGAAACAGAACCATATACTACTAACCCTTCCATATTAAAAAAGACTAAATTGTTTTCTGCAAATCACTCCCTCTCAGGTGTCCACCAACTGAGGGAGTTACATGAGTATAACAGAAGACCAAATTCATTCTCATTGTAATACTAATTCAATATTAATATTTGAGTGGCATGCCTATCAAGCTATTTTTATTGCTGATTATTTGTATCGCAGTAGTGCCTAGAAGGTCAATCAAAGATTAAATGCCATGCACGGTTAAGCACTGTACACATGTTTAATGAACACAGAGCCCTATACCCCAAAAACTCTGGATTTCTCTATACTTCTAGTCTCCTAAATGGAAAGAGTCTTACTTCCTTTATTACCCACACCACAGTGAGGGTTTAAGATATGTGAGGGTTCTTTGAAGAACAAATTGCAGTTCTGCAAGGAACTGAGCACACTTAAACCAGTGAGAATGGAGGGTTCATGGACTGTCCCTGAAAAGTGATAGTGATTGCAGGATTGAGCCCACATTTTTTGAAAAAATGATTAAATGATACTGGGTGCCTAAGGTTTCCTTTACTCAGCTCAGGACAACCTTCTTATAACCTGCCTTTCAGAAAATGCACAGTATCATCTGAAAATCAGGCCCCTTTATAGTGTGTTTGGATGGGTCCAAAGATTACTGCTATTCCCCACCCCCCCCAAGGTTAGGAACCAAATACTTTGATTCACATCAAATGAGTAACTATGCTGAAATCAATAAAGTCTGGCTGATTGACACCAGCTGGCAATCTAGTGCCTCTTTTCTATTTCTTTTAATAAAATACTTGGTTCATCTAGGGTATATTTTTAATATTGTCCTTTATTTCATGATTATGAATTCTCTTTGATGAGGAAGCAGCTATTTCTGTTACTGCAATGGGTTCTTACCAAAACAGAAAGAAAAGGGGCGGGAGGGGTTTTTGATTTATTTGTTTTTAAAAGGAATAATAGAATATCTCTTTTTTGTACACACAAACTACTACAAATTGCTTAAAGAAAATTAAAACTGCTCTATCTAGTAAAAGAAAAAGAGCTTGTACCTTATGGCTAGATGCACAGGACGGAGGCGGGGGGGGGGGGAACTAATTTATGTAACCAACAGATGGCCTGAGTTTACTCAAGTACTTTGCCTCTCTGAAACACTGCCTGATGGGGGTTGTACTGTCTTGTGGGAAGCAATGCTCAGCGCACACACACACACACAGGAACAGGTCCAGCAGTAATTCACTGGCCAAGCTCCAACAGAAGGAGCTC